AAATTCACTTCAAAGAACTTTTATTAGGATGGCATTTTACATACTGTAGTCAGTGTGCCTTAGTATGTAGTATAAATGTATTTTATGATATTGGGAGCTCATAAAAGAGCCAAAAAAAAAACCCTCATAACTTAGATAATGGAAATCTCCAAGGGCTTATGTTTGCTCAACTGCTCTGTAAATTCTAGTCTTCTCATCTAGCTTGGCTTCTATCCCACTGTGAACATGACCCATAAGACTGCTGAGTAAGGTAAGGTTAGTAGATGACTATTTTGAAGTTTCTGGAATACTGCTCAAACATTACACCTGTGTGCCCCATAAATCAAACTAATTGTGACTAAATTTCAGCAGTTAATTTTACCTACTTAACTCTCACTGTCAGGATGAGTATGTTCCATATCCCTTTTATTCATGATATTAAAGTCTGTATAATTTCATGCCAGTAGAGTTTTGTCTTTTATTTTGTAAGACAGTTAAGAGTGTCCTTTACTATCTTGCCTTGATTGCCATGAATTTTAGAGCTCTCTTTTAGTGGTTACGCAGCTAAAGTTTTCATGTGAACATCTTCTATGTCTCCTACTCTCTTCTACCAATCAACATTCATTACAGCACTTCTGTCAGGTAGTTTTTGATTATAAACATTCTTAATTCCTTTTTGACATTTTGCGCCAGACAAATTGAATAAATTCAGCAATTACTGAGTGCCTACTTCTTGCTGTTAAGCTCTGTAATATTGGCAGTAGTTGAAGAGGATAGGTGGATGGTCTTAAGAAACCAAAAAATTAGCCACTCCTAGGAAATGCTTTGTTCAAACAGGAATTAATAGATGTGTTTTCTAGGCACATGAGGTACCCATGTTAATTCTTTCATTTGTAGTTCAAAGCCATCATGAGGCTAAATGATCATTACTGAAGCATACATATTTTCTAGGGCTATTATGTCTTAGATTTAAAATTTGAGAGTAGAAGCTGGGTATCTCAAAGTTTCTGAGATAGCAGTGCACATACAATTCCAGTCTTTTCTGTTCCTAAGCCTCCACAAAGGGTTGTGGAGCTGGTCTCTGTGAGAACACACTGCTCGTAAGCCTTTCAACTTGGGGAGAGGTGGTTTGTTGGAGGGGACCAGAGGTTGCCTCAGGGAATCTCTAAAAAGATGGTAGTGTGTCTGATCCATATTATGAAATGACTTTGAAAAGAGCAGGCATTATTCCTGCTTTGAGTCTAACAGGAAAAGAAAGCTTTGTTCAGTTGTTCATGTTGTTCTTTAACGAAGAAGGTTCTCTTATGCTTTGTGAAACTTTTGAATGCATACTCATTCCCTTGAAAATTCAGACTACTACATAAAGGTGTACAAGATGGTAAATAGTGATAGCCCATGACTTAAAAGGTTGCCAATACCATCGCTTATGAAAACACTGAATTTTACACATATTAAAATATAAGTTAAACATAACTTTCTGCAATCCCATGACCTGACTTTTAAAATAAGGTTTGTGAATTATTCTAACCTAGATGTGTCTTCCCTTGCCCTATAAAAGAGAATATAGTTGTCGCCTGAATTTTTCTGGAACTGATTGCCCTTTACATTGTTCTCATCTTTTATTACTTGCCTTCTCCTTTTTTTTTTAATTTTTAATATTTATTTTTCAGTTTTCGGCAGACACAACATCTTTGTTTGTATGTGGTGCTGAGGATCAAACCCGGGCCGCACGCATGCCAGGCGAACGCGCTACCGCTTGAGCCACATCTCCAGCCCCAGCCTTCTCCTTTTAATTGTTGGCCTTTTGCTTATTTTATTGTTTACTGACACCTTTCCTGTGATAGGCAGAATAATGTCCACCCGCAAAGATGTATGGAACCTTTGAATATGTTCCTATGAATCCCCCCTCCCAAAGATCTCTAGAACTTATGGATATGCTGTGTTACTTGGCCCAGGGAAATTAAAGGTGGCAGACTGAATTGCATGTGTTCATCAGTTTACCTTAATTAGAGAGATTACCCCGGATTTTCTGAATGTGCCCATTGTAATCACCAGGGCCCTTAAATGTAGAAAAAGGAAACAAAGAGGAAGGCAGAGTGAAGCCACATGAGTGAGACTTGGGCAGGGGCCTGAGAATATAGGAAAACTCTAAGCTGGAAGAAGCCAAGGAAACAGCTTACCCCTGGATCCTCCAGAAAGGATTGTAGCCCTAATGACACCTTTGGTTTCTGACATCCACTGAGTCTCTTCACATTTCTGATTTATAGAACTGTAAGAAAATAAATCTGTGTTGTTTTAAGCCAACAAGCTTGTGGTGATTTGTTATGGCAGCAATTAAAAAAAAATACATTTACCAGTGTAGAGAAAGGAAAGTCAAGATAAAACTCGGGGTAGTTCATTCAAGAACGTCTTGCGGGTTGTAGTTGCACCTCAGCCCACTCTCACCGTGTCCATCATCACAGATAATCTGCAGTGGCCAGTTGCTGCTCTGATGACTTGACATGTGCTTCAAGACTACATCCCCTGGGTGCAGTCTGCCTCCACTCCACCCTCTTGGCTTTATCATTGGGGTGATCTTTTCACAGAAGAGATTTAATCCTGTTATTTCTTTCTGAAGTCCATTTTGTGATCTTCCATTGCCTACAAAGTAAAGCCCAAACACAAAGCATTATATCTGAGCCCCTTCCACAGAAGCTTCTGCTACAGCCTCTTGCTTACTCCTCTACTTTTGTTTGTATTTTATGTTCAGACAAGGTAAAATGCTCAGGCTCTGTGAACCCAGCATGCTATTGAGCTCTTTTGTCTCTGAAGTATGTTGCCTCCTTCACCTGGGTTGCCTTCCTGGATTGTCATCTGGGCTGGCCAACCCATGTGAATTTTTCAGGGCTTAACACAAAGATTAGATTCCCTGGAAAATCAAGGAACCATCCTATAAAATGAATCATTTTTTTTTTCCTGTCCTTTATGTCACACTGTAATTTGTACATCTTGCGATATTAAAACCGGTTTGTTTCCATTTCATTCTCCAATTCTAAACTGAGTCTCTTGAGGGCAGCAACAGACTCTGATAGCATCTGTGGGATCTTATCACTCACGTAGCTTATACAGCAGGCACTCAATAAATATTCAGTGAATGAAGGATTATATTTCCTGGACAGCACACCACACAGATGCCATTAGAATTCAGCTTTCTGAATCCCAGGACACTGTTTTTTGCATTCTGCCTCTAAAACACTGGCACCACAAAAGGAGTTTTTTATACTTGTGTAATTTTTCATTTTAAATAAAACAGAAAATAACTTAGTTTGATACCACTACCATTTGTCTCCCCTAGCTGAACACTTGGAATTTCATGATTTTTATTATATCAAAATAAAAACATCAAACAGCCTCTGTGGTTTTAGTTGTTTTTTTTTTCATGACTCCTTTTCTAAGAATCAGTTTGTGCAGTATATCTGTTTTTATTGCTAAAGCATTGGGGAGATTCTGAAATTTAGTAACACGGCAAGTATCAAATTATTTGGGCTTTAAAAATAATATTTGGATTATCTCTGAACCTATTTTCTGCCTTTTCAGGCTTGTTTTTATGTTAGTTTCTTGGTGGTCACACATAAGTTTGACCTTTTATGTAGGCCTTTGTGAAAGTGCATACAGATTTGGAAGCTGGGATGGATTGGTATCATAGTTTTTATCATCACTTCACATTCTGACTGCAGACCATTCAGAATTTTCATGATGATGGGAGTGATTCCACTTGTAATTTCCTTTTTTAAAACAGTTGTCAGAATTCATATTCTGTAAAACTCATCATTCATGCTGCATAGTAGTTTTTAACTGTGGTATACTATTTTTAAAAAAGGCATTTTTTCTCAAAATGAATGAGTCCATGTTAATATTTCATGTAATAACCATCATTGCTAATTTTAGAAAGTAGTAAATAGAAGCCATTGATGTATCAATGAGACTTAAACATATTTAAAATAGATTTTACTTTTGAAGTACTATGGAAGTATTGATAAATATTTGGAAGCTACTGATTTTTAACTATGGAAATATCCAGCTTGCTCTCAAATATTGCTTGGATGTCCACTACTGTCAGATGTGCATAAAGTGAACTTGTTTTAGGATAGCTTGAAATGCTAGGCAAAGCTGTGGTTGAGACTATGTATTTAGGATGTGAATTCTACATATTTCATCCTCAGTCACTGGAAGTACTTATCTTTCTTTTCAGGTCAACTTAAAGTAATGAGCTTCTATAGCTACTGATATTTCTACCAGAAAAGAAATGTTCCATGGGAAACCTGTCATCCTTAAATGTGCCAGACGTATTTTCTGTTATGTACCAACAAACAGGCATGATGGTCTTTTAAGAACTAGTCTCCAGTGAACTCTTTTAGCACAAGATGAGTCTGCAGAGCTTAGTCATGCAGAATGTGCTAGACTTCACTTTACCAAAGACTCCACTTTCTAGGAACCACAAATCCATTCTCAAGTAGTCAGTTTCTTATCTCCTTACACAGTGCTAGATGTATCCTCACACAAACTTATTTCTTGTGTCTTCTTTGAAGAGATTCTTTACTTGTTTCATTTCTACCATTACATCACATTTCTTATTATATGCTGTGAGTCATTTTCTTCTTTTAAGGACATTAATTCATTGCTGATCCATACCACAGACTTGGAGCTTACTGTTGATAGTTTTTGTCAAAGTCCCAGCTGCTGCTGTCCCTAGTGGTAGGGTATGTTTCACTGAGGAAGCTTTCAGCCCTCTGTTCATTTGTTTAGGTGTCTTGTTTAGGGGGGGCAGGGAGGTAACAAAGTACAAAGTAAATATATCTAAACACAGTTTCTGTAATTGTGCTCCTTTAAATAACTGGTCTGAGTTCTCTTGATAACCTGATGTTATTGCTGCATTAGCCATGATTTTCTTTTTCTTTTTGAGGTGGCTAAATCTTTTTCTGTCTGAATAACTTTGCTTCTTTGAATAAGCAGCAGCAATTGATTTATTCTTTGCCTTTCAGGTACTACAGTGCAACCATTCTACAGATGTCTGGTGTGGAAGATGATAGACTTGCAATATGGCTGGCTTCAGTTACAGCTTTCACAAACTTCATTTTCACACTGGTAGGAGTCTGGCTCGTTGAGAAGGTGGGCCGACGAAAGCTTACCTTTGGTAGTTTAGCAGGTAGGTGCCTAGATGAAGAATTCAGTTTTAAACTTTTTTCTAATGATGACAGCCTTTTAAATGACAACATTGAAACCACTTCTGATATTGGTTTCTTTGACAAACAACATAATATGAGAGTAATAGACCAAAATAAAATAAAAATGAGAATTTGTTTATTTTTTGATACTAGGGATCAAACCTTAAACCCGGGAGTGCTTTACCACTGAACTGTGTCCTCAGTCCTTTTATTTTTTGTTTTGAGGCAGAGCCTCACTAGGATCCTTAGGTCATTGGGTGCTCACTAAATTTTTGAGGCTGGCCCCGAGCTTGTGATCCTCTTGCCTCATCCTTCCAGGAAAAAAATAAGAGCTTTGAATGAATGTTAAGATACAAGACTAGTTGGGCTGGGGATGTGTCTCAAGCAGTAACTCGCTCTCCTGGCATGTGCGGGGTGCTGGGTTCCATCCTCAGCACAACATAAAAATAAAAAAAAATAAAGATGTTGTGTCCACCAAAAACTGAAAAATAAATATTAAAAAATCTCTCTCTCTCTCTCTCTCTCAAAAAAAAAAAAGATACAAGACTAGAAACTAGATTGTAAGTAGGAACCAATTGTAAGAACAATCTGGGTATACTGAGGGTAATATTTTTCTGTTATTTTTGGAGTTCAGCTCAAAGGAACAGAAGTAAAAGGAATAATTATTTTTTGTTCTATTCCTTGTTTGAAAAATGTTATATTTGTGAAATGACTTTATGTTGTATTTTTAAGTTTGGAATTATATGGAAACAAATTTGAAGCATTTTTTTCCAAGCTCTTTCAACAGTGAAATATCGGAACCATATAATTTCGTCACAAAGCAGGGACAAACTCTTTTTGTGTTTGATACAAGCCTAAATCCTAGGATAAGTTCTGATTGGTTAAGTGTGTTTTCTATGATGGCTAAATAAAGCAAAACCTTTCTTTTCTCACTTGTCTTTTCTGTTTAAATTCTGCCCATTTATTTCTTTTCTAAAATACAAAGGGCTGTTTCACATGACAAAAATGGGACCCATCAATGACATTTTCTTCACTGGGTATATTTCATACTTTTTGAGATTTTTTCCAAATGTACAAGCACTTTCTTTCTTGTGAATTAGCTGTACTCTAGTAGTGTTTTTATAAGTGAAATTGGAGTTAAAAAGTACACATTTCCATTAAAATATGAAGTTTCAGGGGTAGCACTAAATTCTATTTTAGCCAAATTATACCTAAAGTAATGATCTAATAGGACTGTTTCAGGCACTTGTCCCAGATTTTGATGAGAAAATACATTGTGAGTTCTAAACACAGTTACTGGGAATACATAACCTTCCTCCAGAAAGAAGAATACAGTGCTTCCACCTCCTGCCCTTACCTAAGCAGTGGGAGCCCTTGACTCCAGTACTGTGAGCGAAGCTGAAGTATTAGTGCTGAGGCAAAGCAGAGATTGATTAGAGGCTCTGGTAACTACAATAGCCAAGATATACAGGGAAGTACGCCAGAAAGTAAAGAAGGGTGAGGGACAAGTGAAGGTTTAAAAAACATGTGTAAAACCATGTGTGATGAAAGCAGAGGTGGTAAGCCTGGAACAAAAGACTAAGAAGAGGCTTAGGGATGCATTTCAGTTGGTAGAGTACTTGCCTCACATGCACAAGTGCTGGGTTCAATCCCCAGCACCACAAAAAAAAAAAAAAAAAAAAAGACTAAGGAGAAATCCTTTGGCTATCTTAGTCTAGAAAGTAGTAGATGCTATGAGAGAAAAATATATCTGACAATCAAAGCTGTCCACGATGAACTGGGCTATCTCATTAGGATGATAAACAACAACAACAACAAAAAAAAAAATGGATTACCATCAGGAGTGTTCTGCTAAAAATACACTCTTATGGTGTGCTGAAAATTGGATTTCCTGGCACCTGGGGCTTAGGTCAACACTAAGAAGAGAAATAGCTGCTTTCAAAATTTTTAAATGGACTTTTTTCCTTTTTGTTAGAGCCCAATATATTGCTGCCTCAAGAGGTCTTTTAAAAAAAAAATAGAATTTCAGGGCTTAAATTTGATGTTTGGCTTTGGAGATTTAGGGAAAACTGCTGAATTAACACTTTTTCTAGCAGCTTGTGCCTTCATTTGTTGCAGTCCAGCAATATACTTTCTTATCAATCCTGCAAAATTCTTGAGGCATTATTGGTACAGAGCCAGACTGTTTTGAGTCTAAAGTTTGTGATTTTAGGCAAAGTTCTATTTCCTCATCTGTACATGGGGATTAATTATCATTCCTGCTTTATGGAGTTATAAGAAGGATTTAACACATTTAAAATACTCAGGATGCAGATATAGAGCATCTTAGCTGTTACAGCATCATGAGTAACCAGAGTGACTCTGTTGTTTTATCCACACTTTGAAATAGCCTCCCCCTTCTTAATCCACCTGGAAATTCATGTTTCCCTTTCCTGTAGGTCTTTTGCCCAGAGGGGTCCAGCAAGCATGCCTGACTCTTGAGAGGAAGTAGTAAGACATTCATAAGAAAGAAAAGACTAAAGACTTCATGGTTGTTTCTTCCCAGCAACATTTAGCCATTTTCCTTTCCTTTTTCTCTTTTCTGCCAAATCTGCCACCACCTCAGCTCTGACAGTTAAAAATACTTTACAGTCTGCAAACAGCCCCATCCAGAAGGCTTCTGACCTCCAGCTGTGTGGTCAGTAGATATTACAGTGGCTTACTAGGTAGAAAAGCCTGGCTTGTTGTCACAGGTTTCCTCTTTTACCTGCACATATAGAGGTAAATGATGGCATTTGTGCAGTTTCCTGTTTGTAATTGTGGTTAAACAGGTCCACTAGAAGACAGTAGCCAGTGCAAGTTTACACTTTGGGAAGGAGGCCTAATTAGCACTTGGCAGCCCTGTTAATTTATACGTTTTCCTTCAGGGTAAACCTCACAGTAGATGCTTCTTTGACACTGTAATACCAGTTGATTCAGTGGGTTTTTTAAAAAAATTTCTTTGTTTGTTTTAATTGGTTATATATGGCAGTAGAATGCATTTATGCACTTTGATATCATACTTAGATGGGATATAATTTCTCATTTTTCTGAGTGTACATGTTGTACAATCACATTGGTCATGCAGTCACCTATATACATAAAGTAATAATGTCTGCTTCATTCTTTTATCCTTCCTATCCCTTTATTTCAATATTTTTTGTTTTATTTATTTGTATATAGATACATATTGCTATTTTAATAGTACTGAGTATTATGAAAATGTTCATTTTAAATTTTTTAAATTGGCTACAGCCTAGAATTTTTAAACTTAGGATTCAGTTTTATTCCCTATATTGTGTTTTATTTTTTAAATTGGATTAAAAATATGAAAAATAGGTTAAATCATATCAAGATAATTTTCGAATAGATATTACCCCCTAAAAATTATTATAAATAAACTGTGTTTAATCCCAAAGAAACTCTTTATACAGAGAAATATATGTAAGCTGTCAACAATTTTAAATGTGGCATATTTTATCATGTTCTCATTTTTAATATTTTCAAACCTTGTTGAAAAAAACTGGTCTTTTTTTGAATATGACAATTTAATAGCAGCCTCTTGTTGAATACTGGGATTCTTGTGTCTGTGTAACAGTATTTATAATAAATCTTAGAAGGCCAGAAACACCGTGCCGTTTCTACCACATATTTTGGTAGTGGAATATTTCTGAAAATATTATTCATAGGCTGTCTCTCTCAGAAGCAGCAGTGCTACTTATTTTAAAATGTGAATTTGTGGGCACCATCTTAGATCTAAGTTAGAATCTATGAAGATGGGGGCTGGAGCTGAAGCATTTTGACAGGTTCTGCTGGTGAAACTTAGGCACACATTAGGGGAACTAAGGAAAGGAAATGATTTTTTTCTAAAAGATAATTCCAGCTCTGTACTGGGTATTTAATATAGCTTATTAATGAGATATTCTTCAGAATGCTATTATCCAACTTACATCACTTTCTTTGAAGAATATCTTTATGGGGAAAATTTTACCAAACGATTAAAATCTACCAGTGTGCTTGGTTAGGAGATACTCTTTTCCTGAAATATCAGGAGGAAGCAACACTGCACACTACACAGGAGCAATTCCTTTCATCCAAAGCTGTCCTATACTAAACTTACACTAATGAACTTTATTAATTTTGTATGATTTTTTGTGATTTATTTTTTATATTATAGAAAGAGAGGTTATAGAGGATATATATATATATATATATAATATATGTGTGTGTATATATATTATATATAGTATATGTAGGTTATAGTAATGAATCATTTGATAATAACTATAGTAATTTCTAATACTAACAAGCAACTGATAAAACATTTGTAACTTGCTAAATGAAAGAAAAAGGGTAATACAAGTAGTTAGAAGGGTTTTTAATCTCTGTCTGAGCATCACAGTTACCTGTGGAGCTCTATGAAGCCCATGCTTCTCCTCCCCATCTTCTGGAGAGGCTGAGTCAGAGGGCAGGGGCATCCCAGGCATCTCCTCCAGTAGGAAGCAAGGACTAAACATTGCTACAGAAAATTTTAAAAGATAAAGATATAAGTATAGCTTTTAAAATATTTCCATCCAAATTAGGTTAATAATATAATAAATATGCTTAAGAAGGGTTGACCTTCAAGCATTTAGGAATTCTACATATCCAGAATGTTCCATTCCCAAAATTTTGAAGATGGATTGAACTTTTTTTAGAAACAGAAGCAAGAGTTATATTATCCATATTACATAACTCACCTAGGTTATTTGTACCATACTAACTCATGACTTGAACTGTATAATCTTAACATTTTTTTGTTCTTATTCTTTTCTTCAAAAATAGCCAACATTATAAAAATCCATATAACTTTAATACATATGTCAGCCAGCACTACTTTCTGAGATAAATATGTGCCAGGCACTAGAATTTGACATATAGTTATGCAACTTAGTATTTACAATTTATCAGGGGCACAGGTTATTGAATTATTACTATGAAGGAAGAATATCAGCTTTATTCACACCTTCAAGTATCAGCATTTCCTGATGAAATTATTTTACCTGTTTCACAGAAATGAGCTATGGAAATTCTTTGGGCAAATAATTAAAACTCAAGTTCTTCAATAGATAAACAGTAAAAGTCATGTTTTGTTTGAAGAAAAGGCTTGATTTTCAGAACAAATGTATATCTCTTTTCTATTTCTCTTTTCTATTTCTCCATTTAGGGCTTGATAGCCTTTTGAGTAAAGTAAAGGCTCAAGCTATTCCTAGTGTGGTCTGAGTTTTTTAAGTAAACAGGAAGAAAACACACAGTGATTTTTGGTGTAAGACTCCATTGACCTAGTTTAGCAAAACAGACTTCTGATCTTCCCTTTAGGTCTCTCTTTCATTCAACTTTTTCTCCTACTTTGAAGGTCCACTCTTGCTGCTACTGCTTCTAATGATAACTACAGCATAACTAACTTTTAAAAATGTTTTAGAGCATTTTTTATTATATAAATATTTCAAATGCATAATAACACTTAAACTTCAGTAATTCTGTAAGTATTTTCACTAAGTCCCATTTTTTGGAAGACAAAATCAAAGTTTGTAAAGGTCCAAGATCAGAATCAAGAAACAGCAGAGCTCAGTACTTAGGCACATCCTTCGGATTCCAAGGGCATCTCATTCCCAAGGTGCTTAACTTGACACATTCCAACAAAAATTTCAGTTATTACACAGTCCCACTGAACCTCCATGGTGTTTTCTAAAATTCTTGTTTTATCTATTTCTTTAACCATATATTTGGTCACATCTTAAATTACCTCTTAGTTAAACTAATACAATCTTTACTTCTACATAAAGACACCCCCTAAATTTCACATTTTAATTATGTTGCCTAATTGAAATAAATTATACAAATGAATGCAACCATTTTGCCTTTCTTCCTATCACTCTTTTTGTTCACCCTTAAAATTCTGTGGCTGAAGCAATTATCAGAAATTTGAAAACTTCTTGTTTACCATCAGGACATTGATCAAGAACTCAAACTTTGGTCCTTTTAATAGTCTTAATTACTAAAACTTTCCCTTAAATCCAAAGGTAAGTATTCTATTCCCAAGTGCCAACAGGCAAGATAAATGAAGTCATGTGTTATTTCATTCCTGATACCTTAAAGTCTTAAATTTAAAGAAGAAAACTTTCTTTTTAATAATAAACATTTTCTTGCCTGCTTCAGAAATAATCAGTGTGTTACTTTTTAGTTCCACTGATTTAGGTCTTATATGACTGAAGGCCATTAGAACAATTTTCTTGGCACCAAAAGGAATAGTTGATGTACATCTGTTGAGTTTTGTTCTTCCTGACTTGTTAGACTCTGTAATGTTGCTTACTTTAAGATATCCAGTAATTCTAGATGTTTGGTTGTTTTTGCTTTGTATTTCTTTCGTTTTGTTTTTAGAGGAGAATCATCAGTTTTCTTTTTGATTCATAATTGTATTTGCTTTGAATTTTACTCTCCTCATGTCTCACAATGTCCTAGTGAGCTTTTCTGATAATTTGTTTAGATAGTAGAAACTTTTATTTTAAACCAGAGAAGATAAATCAAGGTATTTTTTAGAAGTATGATATATGAAATTCAGTTTTCTTTGGAAAAATGTTGTCAAACGTCTCTCTGATGTAAAACATTTTTCCCCCTAGGTACTACTGTGGCACTCATTATTCTTGCTCTCGGATTTCTGCTCTCAGCCCAGGTTTCTCCCCATATCACTTTCAAACCAGTAGCTCCATCAAGTCAGAATGCTACTTGTACAAGATACAGGTGAGATTGCATTATGTTCTGTTTCCTTAATCTAATTTTGGTAATGTTTTTGTTTGACTTTAACTTTTCTAAAATTTGAGAGATGAGTAGGAGCTTCCTAGGTGTTGGGCTTACATATGAAGGGAAGAAAATGTGAAAGGTGTAGGTAGGTACCATGAGAAATAGCATTTTCAAAGGCATGAGAGTGTATGAAATTAAGGAAAAAGTCAATTGTTGAGACATTATTTTGGTGATATTTCTCTTTAAATTAGGGAGTAATGTTGAATCAGGAATATAGCAAAACTATAATTTAGCTCATGAATGACTCAGTGACATTGCTATTCCAGGTGAAATAGCAAATTGGTAATTAATATTTTGTAACATACACATAACTCTGAATATTCTCGCAGTTATTTTTCACTGAATTTTCTGGGCATAACTGCATTAATTTAAATAGAGAAGAACGTTTTCCCCCAATATTATGGCTCTTCCAGAGGATCAGAAATTGGACAGTGAGTGTGGCAAAAAGTGAAGCATTCCAATGTCCCACCGTACGCTTAAGAGTCAATTAAGTGTTGACTGTGCACACTGTGTGATAAATGGATGGGTGCAAAGACAGACAAACAGTGATTGAAGAATGTACAAGTGAATTAATCAAAGAAAAAATTAACAGTTCAATTAATTTTGGGACAGCATAAATTTTAAGTTAAATGATTTTTATCAGTCCAAAAGGCTAGTAACCCCTTTAAAACATGGATAGAATAAGAAGTGACTTAAAATTTAAAAGGGAAAAAAAAAAAAGAAAAGAAAAGGAAAAACCAGCATGCCTGTAATCCCAGCAGCCCTGGAGGCTGAGGCAGGAGAGTTGCAAGTTTAGAGCCAGCTTCAGCAACTTAGTGAGGTCCAAGCAACTCTGTAGGACCCTGTCTCAAAATAAAATATTCTTTAAAAAAGGGTTGGGATGTGGCTCTGTGGTTAATCCCCTCTGGGTTCAATCCCCTGTGCCAAAAAGAAAAAAAAAGAAAAGAAAAAGAAAAAAACCTTGTACTCCTTAACCTCAATCACATGGGCACAAAACTCAAATCAGTGAGTAAATAATTTATGTCATTGCTATGTGAGGGTTAGAGTATATAGCTCAGTGGGAATGCAGGGTTAGCATGAGCAAGGTTCTGGGTTCATGCCCTAGGGCATGTGCATGCACATACATGCACAAAACTGTAAAATTAAAACATTATATTTATACATCAAACTGCACATGGTGTCCACTTAGAGCTTCTAACTGAACATTATTGTGGCATCTCATTACAATAGTAGGAAGAGATTTATTATGTCTTTCTAGTCCTAAAGTTTGGTCTCTACTTGCTTTGGAAAATAGTTATAACACCATTCTTTCTCACTAATATGTTTAACTGTTTCTTTATTGTCTTGCGGATTTTTGTGGTCCTTATCATTATCATATTCGAGGAAGACTTAAAGGTACATTAATAAAAGAACTTAAACTCAGTATAGACTATTTCTTCAGTGCTCTTTATTTGGTTATTCAGCAACTATGGCAAAATGATAACCACTGTTGGAATTCTGCAGGCTCTACTTTTTTTCTTGACATTTTAGTTGTGTGTGTGTGTGTGTGTGTGTGTTTTAAATGTATTTTTTTAGTTGTATATGGACACAGTACCTTTATTTGTTTGTTGATTTTTATGTGGTGTTGGGAATTGAACCCAGTGCCTCACGCATGCTAGGCTAGCATTGTACCACTGATCCATAACCCCAGCCCTGTTTGTATGTTTTGACACAGTTACCTCTAATAATTATTATTTGAAAATTATTGTTGTTTGAGTAACAGGATACTTTTCAAAACTAATGTCTGATTTAAGTGCAATCTTTATAATAAAGATTAGAATATTGTGAAGGTCAAGTAAAGGCTTAAAATCATCCAGAGAGTTAGAAAAAAAGTATTATGAATTTCTGATACTAGAAGAAAATGACCATATATATTTGATGGTTTACATAATGAAATCATTTTTATGACATAAACTTTTAAAGTTTAAATAAAAATATTTATTGCCTAAGTATAGCTCATTGCACAGCAATTTATGATCATAAGTCTGTTAATCCTCCTGGTCCAACATTCATCTAATATTTCACTATAAAATGGTAATGAAGTGGTACAGCAGTCTAGTTTTATCATCACAAAAATAGGGGACCATTTTTTTAAAAAACAGGACAAAATTTTAGACGTCCAATAGGAATTGATATGTATGACAAACATTATGTGCCTTCTTTCAGAGTAACAGACTATGGGAATTACATAGTATGCATTTATGGCTTGAATGATTCTTATAAAAATGATTGCTATATTTTTCCTAATTTTGTCATTGCTAAATCATCTTTTAACAATAATTATCTGTTACTTTGTCCCTCTTGAAAACAAACATGAAAATATGTAGTACCTTAGGATAAATAATGTTCATATTGTAAATGTAGGTTGTATACTTTCCCCGCAGAATGATACACATACGACTTTGAGCAAATCATACAGATTTAAAAGATTAGTCTTACAAACATAATGTACAAAGTTTCAAGATGACAGACTAGAGAAGATCACTTTGCTGACTGCTCTATGGCATGCAACCAAGAAAGCAGACAGGTAGAATCCAAACAGGGTGGGTGAACAAAAAGAAAATTGGGGGATGTTACTGGAATTTTGTAGTGGATGTTTAGAGCAGATTGGGGACTTGGGAGGTTGGAAGTAAGAGAATAAGGAAAAAAATCCCAGAGCTACATCTGCTACCTTGGCTGGAGAAACCAGCCAGAGTAGTCACTCTGCAAGCAGAATGGAGGGATAAGGGAATTAAAGGAAGCCACATTTTGGAATCCAGGGGTTGTGTCTGGGTATGGAGAATTTAGACATCAAAGACACCGCCCAACTAAACTGAAAGGCACACTGCACAATATCCTTGTGCAGGAAAGAAGTCACATCTCTCCAGGCTATCTGCAGAGGACAGTGAAAGGAACCATTATGCAGCTTCAGCATAGGGGCCAGCTGCTGGGATTACTGGTAAACCTGAGATTGACCCAAAATACAGGCCTGGCAAACCCACACTGCACGACATAGAGTGTGCCTAAGTGACTAGGAGAAAATCAAATGTGGAAACAACTGGTCGCAGAAACCTACCTGGCTCTCCCTCTCCCCTCCAATCTGGCTGCTTTCAGGACTGGCTGGGAAAGGTGGGCCTAGCTGAGAATTCAAAAGGTAGAAGTGAGACAGACTGAATTTGGAGATTGAAACTGAGACTAGAAAACATGGGGTCCACAGGTGATGTAGGGGACTAAGAATTGCCTCCTCCACCACATGTGTAGAACCCAGGGAGATCTCTGAGGTGCAGTCTTCTAGCATAGACTGCAATATCTGGGCCCTGGAGATGTGCTGATTTAAAAATCTCCAGACCAACTTGTATTCAGCAAAGAAACTGGAGCCCACCTAAGCCTAAACCCTGCTTCTAGGAATTCTGCATACAGGATTCCCTCACTCACTTGAGAAATTTACCCAAGGGTGGAGCATCACCCTCCAGAGAACCCCAACTAACACTGCTAAGAAGAGAAGCTGAGAAGCTTTTGAACTCCAAGGGAAATAATTCTGTAACTTTTCATTGAGATTTTTTTTCCCTCCTTCTTCCTTTCTTTTCTCTGATTAATTGTGATCTTAATGATTCGTGATATTTATACATATTCATATCTTTTCTTTCTCTCATTTATAGCATTTTTGAAGCCAGTTGCTTTTTATGGATCAGTTTTTTGAGGAATGGAATGTTTGATTATTATATTTCAGTTTTGTTTTCTTTTATTTTTATTTTTAAAATTTTTACATTTTTCTCTCTTGCCTGTTGCCCTTAATTACCTTTTTTTGCAGTTGTGGTTTTTTAAAATTTATTTTTATTTATATATGACAGTGGAATGCATTACAATTCTTATTACATACATACAGCACAACTTTTCATATCTCTGGCTGTATACAAAGTATATTCACATCAATTCGTGTCTTCATCATGTGCCCTTGATTCTCTTTGTCTCTTCTACTAATAGCCAGTCTCTGGTATTCTTTCTCACTGTTCCTTTAGATTTTACTTCTGCTTCTCTTCTCCTCCCTCATAATCATCATATCCTTTATCATTTCTGTTCTATCCCTGTCTACCATTTGAAATTGTAACCCTTTTGCAAATATACTTTTTAAAAATTTTAGGCAATAATTGATTATATCATTTCTATTTATTGTGATAATTACCATTATAGACATCATCACAGGAATTATTTGGTTTAATGCCAGATGTTGTTTGCTCTGGTTGTTGTTATTATTTGTCTCCCCCTAAACAGTAAGGTACTAGAAATGTTCAGGAATGCTGTAAGTCCACAAGGTAGAGAAGAATTAATGCCAATATTCCTGAAATTATTTCATGAAATAGAAAAGGAATGAACTCTTCCAAACTTATTCTACGAAGCTAATATGATCCTGATATGAAAACCAGGCAGAAGTACATTAAGGAAAGAAAATTTCAGACCAATATCCTTGATGAACATTGATGCAAAATTCTCACTAAAATTCTAGCAAATCACATACAAAAATATATTTAAAAATAGTGCACCATGATCAAGTGGAGTTCATTCCAGGGATGCAAGATTGTTTCAACATAGAGAAATCAATAAATATAATTCATCACATCAATAGACTTAAAGATAAGAATCATATGGTTATACCAATTGATGCAGAGAAGACATTTGACAAAACACAGTACCCTTTCATATTAAAAACACTAGAAAAACTTGGGATCGTAGGAGCATACTTCAACATTGTAAAAGTTATCTATGCTAAACCCAAGGCCAGCATCATTCTACATGGAGAAAAATTAGAATCATTCCCTCTAAAAACTGGGACAAGACAGGGATTCCCTCTTTCAACTTCTAGGCAACATAGTCATTGAAACTCTGGAGTAATTAGATGAAAGAAACTAAAGGGATACAAATAG